CAGGCTGGTTTCGAACTCCTGAGCTCAAACAATCCGCCCGCCTCAGCCTCCCAGAGAGCTAGGATTACAGGCGTGAGCCACCGCACCCGGCCTGAAGTCTTATTCAAAAAATTCTTGCCTTGTCCAATTTCATTAAGCATTTTCCCTGTTTTCTTCTAGCAGTTTCATAGTTTGGGGGCTTAGATTAACTCCAAAGGAATTAAATCAGTATGTCAAGAGACATCTGCATACCCATGTTTACTGCAGCACTATTCATAATATCCAAAATACAGAATCAACCTAAATGCCCATCTAATGATGAGGGGATAAAGAAAATGTGGTATATATATACACAATGAAATCCTATCATTTTCAGTAACATGGAGGAACCTAGAGGACATCATGCTAAGTGAAATAAGTCAGGCACAGAAAGACAAACACCATATGATCTCACTCATATGTGGAATGTAAAAAAGTTGATTTCATAGAAGTTGAGAGAAGGATAGTGGTTCAGAGGCTGGGAACGGGGGTACCAGGAGAGGTTGGTCAGTGGGTACAGAGTTAGGAAGAAAAAATTTGGTGTTCTGTTACACAGTAGGGTGATTATAGCAAATAACAATGTCTTTTATATTTCAAGATAGCTAGAAGAGAAGGTTTTCAATGTTGTCACCACAAAGAAATGATAAATGTTTAAAGTGATGGATGTGGCTAGGTGCAGTGGCTTGTGCCTGTAATCCCAGCACTTTGGGAGGCTGAGGCAGGAGGATTGCTTGAGGCCAGGAGTTTGAAGTTACAGCGAGCTATGATTGCATCACTGCACTCCAGCCTGTGCGACAGAGTAAGACACTATCTCTAAAAAATAATAATAATAAAGTGATGGGGCCGGTCGCGGTGGCTCACGCCTGTAATCCTAGCACTCTGGGAGGCCGAGGCGGATGGATCGCTCAAGGTCAAGAGTTCGAGACCAGCCTGAGCAAGACCAGCCTGGCCCAGCATAATCTATCTTAGTTGACGTTCCAGGCGTATTTGAAAATTATATGTATTCTTCAGCTGTTGGTGTAGTGTTCTATACATGTCAATAAAGTCAAATTGGTTGATCATGTTGTTAATATCTTTTACATCCTTAGTGATTATTTTTTTTTTTGCGTCTAGTGATTTAGTCAATTACTGAGAGAAGAGCATTAAAATCTCTAACTATGGGCCAGGGATGGTAGCCCACACCTGTTATCTTAGCGCTTTGGGAGGCCAAGGCAGGAGGATTGCTTGAGGCCAGGAGTTCTAATGCAGCTTGAACAACATAGCGAAGCCCTGTCTCTACAAAAAAATAAAAAAATTAGCTGGGCATGATGGTGCATGCCTATAGTCCCAGCTACTCGGGAGGCTGAGTCAGGAAGATACCTTGAGCCCAGGAGCGAGACTCTTGAGCAAGAGCGAGACCCCGTCTCTACTAAAAAATAGAAAGAAATGATCTGGACAACTAAAAATATATATATAGAGAAAAAATTAGCCGGGCATGGTGGCGCATGCCTGTAGTCCCAGCTACTTGGGAGGCTGAGGCAGGAGGATTGCTTGAGCCCAGGAGTTTGAGGTTGCTGTGTGTGCTAGGCTGATGCCATGGCACTCACTCTAGGCCAGGCAACAGAGCGAGACTCTGTCTCAAAAAAAAAAAAATAATAATAATAAAATGATGGATATGGTAATTACCCCAATTTCATTATTATGCTATGTATACGTGCATTGAAACATCACATTGTACCTCACAAATATGTACAGTTGTTATGTGTCAATTATAAATAAAAACTTAAAAAAAGAATTGGCTTTTGGTTATTCTCCATTACAGGTTTATTGCCAAACCCTGTGCACTCCATGTTGGCATCGAGGACAATGGTCCTTATCAGGCCCAACCCAATGCCATCCTTGAAAAGGTGTTCATATCTATTACCAAGGTAAGCGGGCAAAGAAATAGAGAGGAAAATTCATGGGAGGTATTGCTGCATGGGGCAAGGGAGGATAGAAAGCACCTATCTCCAAGGATAAGAACAGGATGGGATGATCTTTTATGTTTGGGTAGTCCATATAGCTATATGGAGAATTTATCCTCTCAGGGAAAACCTTTGGGCCAGGGTCCCTACACATGTCAAATTTAGACACCTTTGAGTTTTAGGCCCAGCAGCCACCTCTACTCCTCTTTCCCTAGACACAGCCATATAATATCTTGTTTTTGTTTTTCCTTGCTTTAGTTTCTGTCATTACCTAGTTGTGTAATCAAGATGGGGATGGTACTGATAGTCTTTGCAGTTTGGGTTTTAATATCCTTTTTTACCCAGCTTGGGCTGGAGGGAGAAGACCAAACAAGAATGTGTGCATGTTAGCAGTAAAAGTCCTTGATGTGCAAGATAGGATTTCTTACTAAAAATGACTTTGGGATAAAACCTGGAAAGATAAACATCACTTGAGCCACTGTGATGATCACCCCTTGCCACTCAGCTAGTCAAAGAGATTTAATGAGGGGTTTGAGAAGAAAAGAGTGTTCTGACTCTGGTTATACACCTACAGTATCCTGATAAGAAAAGGCTGGAGGGTCTATCAAAGCAACTGGACTGGGATGTCCGAAAAATCCAATGCTGGTTTCGCCATCGGAGGAATCAGGACAAGCCCCCAACGCTCACTAAATTCTGTGAAAGCATGTAGGTGTACAGGGAGGGAGGGAGGGAATGAGGAGGAGGTGGGAGTACAACTGGACTGAGGTTTTCTTTTTGGAAGTCACTTCTGTTGCTAGGGCAACAGTTGATGGATGTGGAGGGCTAACTCAGTCTACTATAGGTAGGAAAGAAGAGAACTGGAAGACTGGTCGCCCTTAGTTTCTTGGACGTGCTTGCCACTGAGCTAGGTGTGGTTCCATTTTATCCCCCTTTCCCAAATAGAGTGGGAATAAATTCCTATAACTGCACTTAGGTAGATATGCACACCCTCGTACGCCCTGACAGAAATAGTACTAGATTGCTGTAAATTGATGTTTTTGTGGGAAGCATCCCTTTTCTGGAAAATACTACATTTCACTGAATTTTTACTAAGTATCCTCTAGAAATAGAGCACTATCATCAGGGAGTCTGATAGGGAAGAAAAGTTGATTAAAAGCAGTATATATTTGTGGAAATCTGTTTTACACAGAGGCTGGAAGATGACTGTCTTTGGCTTTTTAGGTAATAGTATTTGTCCCTATTCTGGGAATTTAGCCTGTTTCTTACCAGTAACTGCCTTATCCCCAGATCTGCTATTTTGACTTCCCTAACCTCAAAAACTTTTGAGTAAACATTTGTCTAACCTCTACTCTTTGCTCACCCAGGTGGAGATTCACTTTTTATTTATGTATATTCTGCTACGGAATTAGATTTCTCTGGTTGGTGAGTCTGAACTTTCTTTGGTCCTCTGATTGGGTTCTAATTGTGCCTTGATCTCTAAAGGTAAGAGTTAAATACCTTTAGACCTTTATTTTTCCCTAAGTTTTTCTCCTTTGTGATAACCATAGCCCAGGTTTATATGCTAAGAGATTGTCTTCTGTCTGGGGCCTGACTTCAGTAACCTCATGACTCTACTATTTCTCCCCTAAATAATGCTAATAATAATAGTAATAATTAAATCAGCATAGTACTTAGTAGCTTAAAAAGTACTTGACAAAAATCCTGTTCCTCCAAGGGAATCAATAGCACTTTAAGGTGGATGAAACTGCTGGGCATGGTGGCTCATGCCTATAATCCCAGCACTTTGAGAGGATTTTTGAGGCCAGGAGTTCAAGACCAGCCTAGGCAACAAGCAATCAACCGATTCATTTATGTGTTTAAGAAGTGGGCGAAATAGGTATTATTCCTGCTTTTCAGTTGTTATAGTCAAAGAAAAATTTCAGGCATTTTGATTCCTAATTTCATGTTTTTTTCCCTGTCTCACACTATTTTTCTCTAAATGATATAATTATGTCTTCAAAATAGATGAAGTAAAAACTAGTAGGACTGAAGGAAGGGAATAGACAAATACATAGTCACAGTTGGAATTTTTTGTTTGTCTGTTTGGTTTTGGGGGGTGGGAGGAGATAGTGTTTTGGTTTGTTGCCCAGGCTAGAGCCCAGGGGCATCATGATAGCCTTCTGCAACCTCAAACTCCTGGGCTCAAGGTATCTTCCTGACTCAGCCTCCCGAGTAGCTGGGACTATAGGCATGCACCATCATGCCCAGCTAATTTTTTTATTTTTTTGTAGAGACAGGGCTTCGCTATGTTGTTCAAGCTGCATTAGAACTCCTGGCCTCAAGCAATCCTCCTGCCTTGGCCTCCCAAAGCGCTAAGATAACAGGTGTGGGCTACCATCCCTGGCCCATAGTTAGAGATTTTAATGCTCTTCTCTCAGTAATTGACTAAATCACTAGACGCAAAAAAAAAATAATCACTAAGGATGTAAAAGATATTAACAACATGATCAACCAATTTGACTTTATTGACATGTATAGAACACTACACCAACAGCTGAAGAATACATATAATTTTCAAATACGCCTGGAACGTCAACTAAGATAGATTATGCTGGGCCATAAAATAAGTCTCAGTAAATTTCAAAATATTGAAATCTTATAGAATGTGTGCTCTGACTACAATGGAATTAAATTAGAAGTCAATAAGATATATAGAAAATATTTGGAAGTTAAACAACTCTTCTAAATAACCCATCGATCAAATAAATCACAAGGAAATTAGAAAATATTATGAATTAAATGATGCTGAAAATACAACATATCAAAATTTCTGGGATGCAGCTAAAGCATACTTATAGGGAAATTAATAGCCTTAAATGTTTGTGTTAGAAAAGAAGAAAGTCACTGATGGAAGTTTCCACTTCAGCATCTCCAAAGGAGCAAAGTAAGCTAAAGGAAAGAAATAATAAAGAATAAGCAGAAAATAATGAAATAGACATTAGACAATGGATAAAATTAATAACACCAAAAGTTGGTTCTTTGAAAGTCTGATTAAAATTGATAAACCCCAAGAAAAAAAGAAAATATGAATTATCGATAAGAGCTTGTAACTGTAGATCCTATAGACATTGAAAGGATAATAAAACAGTATTATAAACAATTTAATGGTAATAAATTCAATGGCATAAGTGAAACAAACAAAGTCCTTAAAAGACATAATTGTAGGCCGGGCGCGGTGGCTCACGCCTGTAATCCTAGCACTCTGGGAGGCCGAGGCAGGCAGATTGTTTGAGCTCAAGAGTTTGAGACCAGCCTGAGCAAGAGCGAGACCCCGTCTCTACTATAAATAGAAAGAAATTAATCGGACAACTAAAAATATATAGAAAAAATTAGCCGGGCATGGTGGCTCATGCCTGTAGTCCCAGCTACTCGGGAGGCTGAGACAGAAGGATTGCTTGAGCCCAGGAGCGTGAGGTTGCTGTGAGCTAGGATGACGCCACGGCACTCACTCTAGCCCGGGCAAAAGAGTGAGACTCTGTCTCAAAAAAAAAAAAGACATAATTGTAACTCCATTAGAGATGATTACTTTTGAGTTTTGAACTGATGCAGAGATCTTTCTCTTGGTTATCAAACAGAATCATTGTCTTCCTGCCTCCATATATATGTATCCCAGGTGGTGATGTTTCCTGAAACTATCCTAGAGCTCTCCCTGCTCTTACTTACCTCAAAGCATAGTTTCTCTATTTATAACGCTTTCTTATTGTAGAAGAAAAATCTACCCATGTATCGATCCCTTAGGAATTTCTAAAATCTCTTAAGAGGGAGCCCTTTCTTGTCTCTTGCCCCAGCCAAGTGAGAAGGGGATTATACAGGGTAGATCCTGAAGCCAGGTGAGAATCCTGAAGGCTGACCTGGATTATCTGTTTTCTTTTAGTCACCTTGGTTCTGGGACATCCGACAGTGCTGGCATGGCTATCCATTTCAGGTAGGATCTGAATTGTTTCAAGATAGGTGCCTGGTATGTGCATAAGGTGTAAGATGGGGTGGGTGAGAGTGCAATGCCAGTCCCAGGACAGATGGCACATTTCCTTGGTATTGAGGGTTTAGGGGCTGAGTCCCTCTGAGTCATATATTCAAGGTTTCTATTTCTGAGGCCCCCATAGCAGTGAAATCCAGTGACCTTTTTGTTCCAAGTTCCCCATTATGTTCACCCTAATTGGGCTAGAGAGAAAAGCAGTTTCCTAGCGTTTAATGAGGTGCTTTCTGGTTAAGGTGTCCTTTTTGTATCAAGGGCGACTTGGAATCCCCTTAAGAATATTTTCTAATCTATAATAGAAAAATGTCAGGGAACTGCTAAAGGGATAGAAGGGAAGGCCCGAAGGCCTTTGTGTATATAATCCCATGAAAAGCACTAATTGCCTACAATTCTAGACATACTGGTTGGATTGTTCTACAGTATGTATTATCTTATCTCTAATATAGATGAGAGCTGGAGATGGTATGCAGAGGTACAGAGGGAAGAAGTTTAAGTCTCTACACCAGAGTCTCTCCAAAGTCTGTTAGCTACTGCAGATCTTGGGAGATAATGGAAAAGGAAAAATACCTAATAATTTGGGGTATTGGTCCTCCAAGACAGAGAAACCTGCAGAGATGGAATGTACCTTTGACTAGCTGGTATTCTAACTACTTCTTTCTCTCTTCCAGCCTCTCTCACGTGGGCTTTATTACTATTATATCATGGAATTGGCCTTCTATTGGTCTCTTATGTTTTCTCAGTTCACAGACATTAAAAGAAAGGTAAGGACATTGGCTTCCTCAACTCCCTAATTCGTTACATCTTCCTTTCTACCACTTTCTATTACTGCCATTGTGATGGATTCTCTTCCCTGACTAGGACCACAAACAAAAGAGAAAGTTGGTTTGATGGGACTATTAGCTCATTGTAATGTTCTCATAAATGAAACTTAACCAGTGATGAAGTATATTTAAGACATTCAGGGCAGCCCCAGGATGAGAACAGTTAACCAGCTAAGAAGCATACTTTTTTCCTTATTCTTCACCAAGGTTCTTACCTCTCTAAATTTCAGGAAACTAGTCAGAACTTGGAGACACCAAAGTCTGATTTAGAAAGAACACCTGATTCCAGAAAAGCTGGATCTGGCGTTTATGTAACATTAGGAACTCTTGCTTGCTCTCTCTGTTCTCCCTTTGATTACCCCATTTACTTACAGAATGTCAACTAGAAGGGGTTTTAGATGATTTAGTTTACTTTCTTCCTGCTATTGTTTAGGAAGCAAAGATTGAGAAAACTGAGCTGACTTACCCACATAGTGACAGAATTGGAAATAAGTTTTATATAACCAGACAGAAAGGGCAGAATGTTTACCTTTTCATTGGTGTCTATGAGATACACTGTGGTGCCAGCAGCTCTACCCCTAATCTGTCACTAATCAGGGTTATCTTTGGTAAGGAAAAGAAAGGTTAATAGGAAAACCAGGGTTAGCATTTATGGGAATGGATTAAAACTAAACTGGGTTGTTAGTGTTATCTGAAGCAGAAACTTGATACTCAATTCCGATGCCTTTCACTCTCCTATAGTCAGGAGACACAGGTTACCTTATTAAAATTTTACTTTGGCCGGGCGTGGTGGCTCACACCTGTAATCCTAGCTCTCTGGGAGGCCGAGGCGGGCGGATTGTTTGAGCTCAGGAGTTCGAAACCAGCCTGAGCAAGAGCGAGACCCCGTCTCTACTAAAAATAGAAAGAAATTAATTGGACAACTAAAAATATATAGAGAAATTAGCCGGGCATGGTGGCGCATGCCTAAAGTCCCAGCTACTTGGGAGGCTGAGGCAGGAGGATCGCTTGAGCCCAGGAGTTTGAGGTTCCTGTGAGCTAGGCTGCCGCCACGGCACTCACTCTAGCCCGGGCAAAAGAGTGAGACTCTGTCTCAAAAAAAAAAAAAAAAAAAATTGTATTTTAGTGATACATAAAAAAAGAATTTTAAAATACATATATAAGTTTTAAAACATAATAGACTATATACTTGTGAACCCATCACCCAACTAAAGAACTAGAACATCATTAATACCATTGTATCTATGTTCGGAGCATAGAATTTTCATCCTTTTTTCTCTGACTCAGATTCATTTGCCTTCTCCCACCCTTTGTTCCTCAGTGGGCTGACAAGTATTTAATAGATGTGTATGATAACTCAAGTGTTTGGAGATTTCTCCAGGTCTAACCCTGGCATTTGAACCCAAGAGGAAATCAGAGCCTTAAATCTGAAAGCAGGAAGTGCTTGCAGTAAAATGGTTTAACCAATATGCATTTTTCTGAAACGTTCTGGAATTTAGCTTTGCCCTTCTTCCACAAACCTCTCCTTTCTGTTAGGTCCCTTTGGTTGAAATTTCTGTCACTAAAGCAGAAGAGTCTTAGAATCTTAGGGATATCTAAGGCTTATATATGTCCCAAGGAGAAATTACTCCCAAGTATCAGCTCAGCATCCCATGCTCTATATATTCTGCAATTACCAAAGGAAATTGTTCTTTTCTGTGTTCTGAGCTATATTAACATAGACTATGGGTCCATCACTGATGTAGGTAGTACTGGGTTAAATGCCCTAAGGGAAAATCTAAGCAGAATGGAACCTATAAGGAATGGGGTAAGAGCCTCAGAATAATGCAAGAATATTGGGTTGGCTAGCATTTCTATGGCCTTGCCTTTACCTGTCTCTTCTATTTTCATTCCTTCCTAGGACTTCCTGATCATGTTTATGCATCATTTGGTCACCATTGGGCTTATCACCTTCTCCTACATCAACAATATGGCTCGGGTGGGAACTCTGATCATGTGTCTACATGATGCCTCAGACTTCTTGCTGGAGGTAAAAACCCAACCCCTCTGTCTTCATCATCCCTCTTTTTCTCTCCTTTTCTTCCTATGTGAGAACTGACTTTGTTCCCAACTCAATTCTTATCTTCCTTTCTTCAGGCAGCCAAGCTGGCCAATTATGCCAAGTATCAGCGGCTCTGTGATACCCTTTTTGTGATCTTCAGTGCCGTTTTTATGGTCACTCGTCTAGGAATCTATCCATTCTGGTAAGTGCTAGGGCTGTAGAGCTGTGGTACATATGTAGCTAATGATACCTTTTTGCCAATTCAATTTTGCCAGTTCAGTTTTTCTGTTCTATTCTATTTTTGCCAATAGAACACCAAGAACCGTATAACCGTGCTTTTTCCTTGGCCTAAGCTGACCCTTATGGACTTTCTTTCACAGGACCTCCAAGCTGTCTTATACCGTATTTCTAGCAAGGTCTGATTTAGACTCAGTATCCAAGTCACTTGGCTTCTGGCTTTCCTGACTCATCTCTGAGGACAGTCCTCATTTTGTGCCTAAGTAATTCCTTTGCTTTTGTTTGCACTGTTTACAGAATTCTCGGGATCTTTCTTGCTTGTGTTCCTGCTCTATTCCTAATCAACACACACACACACACACACACCCCTTTCACTTCTACACTCACTACTTTATGGTACATAGTTAGTGACTCTGGGTTGAAGATTCTGCTTAGTCTGAGGAAATCAGCTACCTACTGTCCTATATGTGCCTGAGGATCTGAGTCATTCCCAGAATTATAATCCCATCCCACTGCCATCCCAATTTTGTGAAACTATGCCTATTTGAAGTGATTAATAATGTGACTTAATCCGTCAGTTCCTAAGATTTCTTTGTCTTCCCCAGTCCCTAAAGATAGAAAAGGGCTCCTCCCTTTCTTTATTCTTCTCTCACTATAGATGAATATCCTTGGAACTTCAGCTTCATCTGTCCACCTAGCTTTGACTCCAGAATCTGACTATTGGCCTCCCTCTTCTAGGATTCTGAACACGACCCTCTTTGAGAGTTGGGAGATGATCGGGCCCTATGCTTCCTGGTGGCTCTTCAATGGCCTTCTTCTGACCCTACAGGTTCTGCATGTCATCTGGTCCTATCTAATTGCACGAATTGCTTTCAAAGCCTTGATGCGGGGAAAGGTGAGGATGAAAGATGGCTTCTTTCTTTGAGCTGTGTAGGAAGATGATGGGTATTACTCAATAGACCTCTGTCCATCTAGGCTGGTGAGCCCCATCTACACAAGCAGGCCAGGCAAAAAGCCTAAGGCTCTAGAGTTTTTGCCTTTCCTATAAATATGAGTATTTAGCCTTTTAAGACATAACTTAGATGCAAGAGGAAGGACCTACCTTTTTCCTGTTCCTTAAGAATGGCTTTTGTTAAAGAATGAGTAGGGTTAAGAGTTTAGAGATGGCCTCAACCTTTCCTCTCCTTTCTACATTAGTGGATTTTCATATTTTTGTTTTTAACATGGGAGCCTTTTTTTGTTAAAGGAAATCATATGCAAAGCACCAAGATATAAATTGTGTAAAAACAGACTGTTAGGTTGTCTAGGAGTAGTATGGTAGTTCACAAGCCACCCCAAGATGACCATGCTGTGATATTCAAGGTTTGATTTATATAAGGAACTAATACCTTCTTCACCCCACTGTTGTATGAGGCAAGGGTCCTAAGTGAATGGGTATGTAGTGTTTCCAATGTCCTTATTATACTAAGAGCCAAAGAAAGGTGCCATTTAATGATAAAACTCATAATTGGTCGGGTGCAGTGGCACGCACCTGTAATCCCACCTACTTGGGAGGCTGATGTGGGAGGATCACTTGAGCATAGGAGTTTGAGACCAGCCTGGGCAACATAGTGAGACCCCATCTCAAAACAAAACAAAAGCTCATAATTGAATTTTGTAAGTTCTGAAACAGACTGTGATTAGGCCAAGAGCTAGGGATTTCAGCCTAAAGTAATACAAATTCCCAAGTGGGAAGGGCTCTGCTAGAGAGGTACTAATGCTAAGACAAACTGATGGAGTGTAATCTAAGTATTTATGATCTCCTATGTCATTGTTTCTTATGGCTGCAATTGGTTTCAGAACTTGCTCAGTGTGCCTGTGCATCCTGTAGCTACTAGACTTCTCTGTTCTTCCCTGCTTTTCTTTCCTGAACAGGTGAATTATCCAGGAAGGAGTAGACCCAGACTCTGTACTCTCCACTCTTTTCTCACCTCCTTCCTTTTTTCTGTGCCTGGCAGGAGCTGGACAGTTTCATCTCTTGCATGTAAGTGTATCTGTGCTTCTAGTATTCAGTGAAGCATGTCTGTCTGAAGGTATGTCTCTTCCTTCCTGCTCTCCTTTCTATTCCCCTGTGTTTGTCTCAGAGCATGCCTTCTCTCCTGAACTTATAGGGCTATTGTTGACTGGCCCTGAAGTTGCCAGATTCTTTTCCTAAATTGAGGCAAGAGTTGAGTCTACTTTTTTCTTTTCTTTTCTTTTTTTCTTTTATGTCTCCCTTCACCTCAAATCTAGAGACACTCTGCCCTCTGGTGAAAATTTCCTAAAGATCAGGTAATCAAGTAGTCATCTGAGTTCAGAGGTCAACAGCTATAATAAACTATAGAAGAGCTATCCAGTGCAAATCCAAAGTGCTAATCCAAGGCAAATGCTCTTCCCTGCCAGCAGCTATTATAGCTTTGTTCTTTTTCGCTTCCTTTATTCCATTACTTTAAAAACACACACATACACACCCATTTATTATCCTTTAGTTCTGGAGGTCAGAAGTCTAAACTAGGTTTCAGTCCTTTACTTTTATGGTCCCTGGTAAAGAATTTGAAATACCTTGCTTGATATGCAAGATAATTTAGATTGGAAAACTGCTCTAATTCAAACACTTCATTTGAAAATACAAAACAAAATAGCTTTCAAGTTAATAGGTAAAGATTCACAGATGGTAACACGATTGGGACTGGGATTCTTTTCTCTATTGGCTGCCAATCCATTTTTGTTTTTACCATACTATGTATCTTAGGGATGCTGAAGTTCACAAGAGAAGTGATCTTGCTATTGGGAAAGGGGAAAAGATTGGGAAACAGTGTCATAGGATAGTGGTAATTGGGTTCAGGAATAGTAAACTACTTTAAAAAAGGCCTGTTATGGGATCAGCTTTGAGGATAAAGAAAAACTCAGGATAACAAATATGAATAAATGCAGTGTCTACAACTACCAAGATAGATGCACTGCTGACAGTCATAGGTATTATTTGTGTCAGCCTTCTCTGTTCCTTGAGGTAGAAGAGAAAGGGTGTCTGGAGTTTCCCTCAAACCTAGCCCAGGTCTCAGTGAATGTTAGTTCTCTTAGGCTGGTCCTCAAAGATACACCCCTCTACCAAAGCACCTTCTATTCCATAGAGAACAGAATCAAAGATGATGAGAAAAAAGCAAGAGAGTAGGCAAAAGATGTACAATAGTTGCCATGGTCTAGATAATATTTTGAGTAAGCTGTCACTAGAAAGTAGACCAGATTGGGAACAGTGCCCAAACATGGACTCTTTGAGCTTAGTCTGTCTTGTTATTCTCTCCAAAAAAGTTCTGTCCTCACTTTCCTATCTTTGGTCCCATCCCAACCAGGTATCTAAGGATGATCGCAGTGATGTGGAAAGCAGCTCAGAAGAAGAAGATGGGACCACCTGCACAAAAAGCCCCTGTGACAGTAGCTCCAGCAACGGTGCCAATCGGGTAAATGGTCACATGGGAGGCAGCCTCTGGGCTGAAGAGTAAGGTGGTTTGTATGGGGACTTAAGCATTCATGGACTTATAGGGCCATTGGCAACATACTCCTTTTGGGTCTCCCAACATCTACTCTTCTGTGACTGGGGGACTGCGGGCACTGAGGAGACTCAAAGAAGCAAATATTTTCACTTTTTTAAAAAACTCTGCCATTTTGTATTTAATAGCCTCCAGATCCTTTCAGTAATGTTATTTGCTGTGTGTGTGTTTGTGTATGTGCATTTGTGCATATGCATGAGTTTCATTGCCTGGGTTGGGGCATAATTCTGGACTGGGGCCACTAGGCCTTGCCTTTGAACCCACCTCAATCCCAGAGTTGACTGCATCTTGAATTACGCTGGCTCCAGACTATCCCCCTTCCTTTTTGCCCATGGCTCTTGAGGCTCTAAACTCCTGGACCGTCTGAATGGAGCTGCCAAGTTCAGCTCCTGGTTTCTGTACTGTTCTTCTTTCGGAGCTGGAATATTTCACAAGATGAAGTTGTAAAGAAACAGAACCGTGATGGATGGCCAGGACTGCTGTGGCCCCTCACTAGATCCTCTTCCTATCACCTGATAGTGACAGGGACAGCTGCTGATACCCTGCTCTTTACTCAATGGTACGCAGGGAGTGGGGTGTGGGAGAGGGTGAGCCGAGGGCTGGAGGAGGACAACAGCCACTGGGTGAGCTGTTGATGGTTTTATATATTGTTTACTCTTCTGTGAATAAAAGTGCTTCAACCCTCCTCCATTGTCTCAACCTCTTTAGTGACTCTGTCCCCAATTCCCTGAATCCATAAGCTAATAATTAGGTTTTTCAGGTCTGACGCAAGAGGCCCTGGACACCAAATTTTTTCCTTTCTCCATGGTGGGAAGAGTCAACCAGAATGCCTACATTTTAGGGCTTTATGTTTTAAGAAAAAGTAAACATATTTAGTGGATCACAAGAACAATACTGAGCAGATTAAAAGATGTATATAGTGAAATCAACAAAGGCTTTGGTTGAAAAGTTAAATCACCTTTAGTTAGGTATCTGTATCTTCATTTTATTTAATACAGAGATTGCCAATTAACACTTTAAGGTTGTGATAAATGAGTCTGAGCAGATGTTTTCTGGTTTAGTTCTGTTTTCTCTTTTAGCCCATGGAGAAGCAGTAGTCCTAACACAAATTTTTCTCTATTTGAAGCTTGGCAAAATTACCAAATGTAGTATTCATCTCCCAGAATAACTTTCCATGTAGTGAATATTCATATTATCAGAATATTTCCAAGTGCTCTTACGTACATTATGACATACAGAGAACCTCATGTCAGGGAGATGGATGAAAACTGAAAGACATAGGTTAGTGTTCTAAGAATCAGATACTCAATTGATGTTCATTGACATTATAGGGATATTGACCCTATTAAACTTACCTTACCAAAAGACTGGATTTTAAAAAGACAATCATGGGGCATAGGAAAATTAAGTCCTAAGTAATCATTTGGTCAGAGGTAATCAGGAAGGCTAAAGGTCAGGCAGGTCCTTAAGTTTAGTTCCTCAACTTGCCATATTGTTGAATAGACTAGTCACTGTGAAATAATAATGAAAATGCTTTTGAAAATCAGATGAGATGTGTATTTTGCCTTTTGAAATTTGAAAATTTGGGCCGGGCATGGTGGCTCACTCCTGTAATCCTAGCACTCCAGCAGGATGAGGCAGGCAGATCGTTTGAGCTCAGGAGTTCAAAACCAGCCTGAGCAAGAGCGAGACTCTGTCTCTACTAAAAATAGAAAGAAATTAGCTGGACAACTAAAAATATATAGAAAAAATTAGCCGGGCATGGTGGTGCATGCCTGTAGTCCCAGCTACTTGGGAGGCTGAGGCAGGAGGATCGCTTGAGCCCAGGAGTTTGAGGTTGCTGTGAGCTAGGCTGATGCCACGGCACTCTAGCCTGGGCAACAGAGTGAGACTCTGTCTCAAAAAAAAAAAAAAGAAATTTGAAAAATTGCCTTGTTAATACAAACTGGGTTCGTTGGCCCACTTAATCTGACAAAAGATGCAACCAAGTGGTATAATAATAAAAAAATAGCAAATATATAGCTATTATACATGCTAGACACTGTATTAAACACATATGCTAAAGATGAGGCAAAAAGAGGACCCACTGTATCTATTCTTGTTTTTGTTTGGTGATTTTATTTATTTTTTTATTTTTTGAGATAGAGGCTTTGCCAGAGGTAGAGTACTGTGGTGTCAGCCTAGCTCACAGCAACCTCAAACTCCTGGGCTCAAACGATCCTACTACCTCAGCCTCCCAAGTAGCTGGGACTACAGGTAAGCACCATGCCCAGCTAATTTTTCTACTTTTAGTAGAGATGGGGTCTTGCTTTTGCTCAGGCTGGTCTTGAACTCCTGACCTCAAGTGATCCTCCCGCCTCGGCCTCCCAGAGTGCTAGGATTACAGGCGTGAGCCACTGCCCTGGGCCACTGTCTCTATTCTTAACCACTATACAGTCTATACTACCACTTCCCAAGACTTCATAATGAGGAAGAACAGATGTTGAAGAAACATTTAGCCAGAGGCACAGACTGATTAGAGTTTCCCTTGGATGAGTAAATTGAGGATGAGTTACAGGAACAGGATCCTGTTCTGAGAAGGAACTGTGTGCATATGGTTGGAGTGGAATGAGAGAGAGAGTCCTGGAGGGTTTGAATACAGAGGTGGAAAGTAAGTGTTACTGGTGCAGCAAGACTGTCATAATGCCAGTTTGGTAACTGGCCATGGGAGGGTTTCATGCCTGAGAGGAAGGACCCAAATCAATGTGGAGTAGGTTAGATACCGACTCACAACATCCCTACCATAGAACTAGGAGTATTTGTTAAGAGAAACAAAGCATTACCTCTCCCGTTTACTATAAAAGGGTTTTAACTTTATTGAAAAGTAACTTATGTCTGTATTGTGCTTTACTGCTTAGAAAGTGACTTCACATATATCAATAACTAAACTTTAAAACACTTGTGTAAAAGTAAGGATTATCATTCCCATTCCATAAATGAGTGTTACGCTTATCTATTACTACATAACAAACCACCCTAAACATAAAAAGACAATTTATTATTTTATCTCTCATGGTTTGGTTGGTTGATTGAGCTCAGCTGGAGGTATCTCATGTGGTTATAGTCAGATGGCAGCTGGGAATGGAGTCATTTGAAGACTCAACTGGGCTTGATATTCAGGATAATTTACTTGCCTGGCCATCAGTTGATGCTGGCTGTTCCATAGGAGCTCAGTCAGGGCTGTCAACCAAAGTGCCTACCCCAAAGCCCAAGACAGTGGAGATGTGGCCTCTTCCTTGTCTTAGACTTTGCACAAGTGGCTGACTTCCAAGTTGCTAGGCCATTTAAGAGTGTTATCTTAAACAGACACACATCACCTTCACTGTATTCTATAGATCAGAGTAGTCACAGGGACTGCCCATATTCAAGGGGGTGGTGAAATAGACTCTACATCTTGATGGAAAAGTGGCAAAGTCACTGAAGAAGAGCATGTGGAATGGCAGACATTGTTGTAGCCATCTTAGAAAAATTCAATCTGCCACAATGGAGTTAAGTTGTTTAAAACACATAAACTCTTAAATTGCCCATCTTAATTCTAAAAATAATCATATGAGTTTAGTTAGTGGATGATTGTACGCTGGATTTATTCTTTTTTTAGAGACAGGGTCCCACTCTGCCACCCAAGGTGGAGCACAGCGGTGCAATAATAGCTCACTGCAGCCTCCAATTCCTGGCCTCAAGCGACCCTCCTGCCTCAGCCCTCCTAAAGCGCTAGGATTACAGGCATGAGCCACCACATTTGGCCCCAGTACTCTGAATTTAAACCAAGTTCTTCAGCCGTGAGATCCAGTCTTCATGCAGGGAGATATTATCAGTTCAGTAACACATTTATTAAGTGCCTACAGGCATTGTGGCAGAAGCTGAGGACAAAGATGAACAAGATCTGTCTGTTTCTATCTTCAGAGGGCTCATACTCCAGTAAGAAAAAAGAAAAGATAACAATGCGATAACTAGTCTAAATCGTTCTTGGCAAAGAGGAAGAAAACTTGAAAGTAGAGCTGGGCCATTAAATAAGAGTAGAGTTTTGCCAGGTAGACAAGGAATGATAGGGTATTATGTTCAGAAGAGATGTGAGAGTATATGCAAGCGATCAGTTCTGGCTTTAATGCAAACTAAACTGAGACAAACATCTAGAAATGGTGGATAAAGTATTTTTTAAGTTTTTTAAAAATGCATAGCTGAGCTTCCCAGAAAGAGACAAAAGATACAAAGGAATTGAAAACTAGAGTAAACCGCAAAACAGCTGATGCAATTACTGAGGAGATAAGGGAAACATAAGGACCTGTTTTCACGCTGACGACAGGAGAGGAGACTAGCTCCAAGCAGGAAGCTGGAACTGAGACCCCCCAGTTAAAGCTGGGACCCTTGAAAGAGCAATGGCCTTAGTGAAGGAGGGGAAACTATCAAAAATCCACCCACCTGGCAAAGGGAGAAAGCAAGGAAGTTTGAATACCTGGGCTTGTGGGCTTGGGAGATTTGAAAATTCTAAACTCTGGGTGATTACTCCTTAAGTGATTTCAAGAACCTTCTTCATGTTGTTGAGTATACTTTCTGTGTGGTCTGGAGTTCATCACCACCCCCACCAAATCCCCAGGTAAGAACTTGCATAAAAATTGGTCTCAGATTAGTTATCCAAGGAATTGCTCTGGAGGGACATGTGCACAATGATGCAGATGACATGGAACTCTACACCTCCCTCCAAAAGATTATCTCAGTCAAACATACAACACATATACTAACAAAATACTATTAATATTAGTATCTAAAATATATAAGGAACTGCTTACTAATTTAAAAAAGAAAAGAAACCCATTAGAAAGAAAAAGGGGAGGTAGGAGCAAATGATGTGACCAGGCAATTCCCAAAGGGTGAATATATAATGGCCGATAAATCAATCAAAAGGTACCCAAACTTAGCTGAAATCAGTGATATGTAAATTAATAGAAGCCACTTCACACGGAACAGGGAAATGCCAGTGAGAGTGAAACTGACATAACTACTTTGGAAAAGCAATTAACTAATAAAGCTAAATATTAGTAATAATTCTTCTTTTGGAGAAACTAGCACATAGGCCCAAGAAAATATACAAAGATACTCATTCTATTGCTATTTATTTATAAGAGGGAAAAAGTGGGAACAACCCAATGATCCTTCACTAGGAGAATGGAATAAATTGATATGCTCATTCAGTGGGATAGTATGCAACAATTAAAATGAATGAAGGCCAGGCACAGTGGTTCATGCCTGTAATCCCAGCCCTTTGGGAGGCCAAGACAAGAGGATTGCTTGAGGCCAAGAGTTCAAGACCAGCCTGAGCAATACAGTGCGACCTCATCTCTACAGAAAAATAAAAAATAAGCTGGGCATGGTGGCACAGACCTGTAGCCCCAGCTACTCGGGAGGCTGAGGCAGGAGGATTGCTTGAGCCCAGGAGTTTGAGGTTGCTGTGAACGATGATGATGCCACTGCACTCTAACCCAGGCAACAGAGTAAGACCTTGTCTCAAAAAAAAAAAGAACTATGTTTCCCTGTCAATATGGATGTATTAGTCTGGGTTCTCCAGAGAAACAGAACCAATTGGCAAGCTGGAGATCCAGGAAAGCTGATGGTGTGAATTCCAGTGTGAGTCCAAGTCAGAAGGCAGAAGACCAGTGTTTCAGCTCAAAGACATAATTCTCTCTTAAGAGATGGGGGTCTTGCTCTGTCGCTCAGGCTGGAGTGCAGTGGGTGATCATAGCTCACTGCAGCCTCCAACTCCTGGGTTTAAGTGATCCTCCCACCTCAGCCTCCCAAGCAATTGGGACCATAAGTGTGCCAACATGCCTGGCTAATTTTTTAAATATTTTCAGAGACTGGGTCTCAGCTATGTTGCTCAAGCTGATCTCCAACTCCTGGCCTAAAGCGATCCTCCCACCTCACCAGTTGCTGGGATTATAGGCACAAGCCACCAGCCCAGTGAGAATTCAGCCTTTCTGTTCCATACTGTTGCTCAATGGATTAGATGAGGCCCATTCACATCTGCTTTACTCAGTCCACCAATTCAAATGTTAATCTCATCCAGAAACACCCTCATGGAACACACCCGGAATAATGTTATCCAAATGTCTGCGTACCTCACGATCCAGTCAAGTTGATATATAAAATTAATCTTAACAATGGGCAAATACAGAAACATAATCTTGACTGAAAAAGGCAAGTTGCAAAATAATATGTCCCATCTGATACAATTAACATTACTTTTTAATCCAAAAATAATAGTAAGGGTACTTCTGTAGTGAAAGTATAGAAACACATTAGCAATTTAAGGATGGACACTGTTTATCTTTGGGGACAGATAATGTGAGTAAGATGAGTACATAGTATATTTAATTTTTGGTGTTCTTCAGTAAGTTTGGAATTATAATTTCAAATTTTAAAAAATGTAAAAACAAATATGTGGCATTTCGGGGAAACTGTAATCTGTTGGAGCTGGACCAAAGTGGCAGGAGATAATAGGAAAGAAGCCTGGGGCTAGATTGTGAAGAATCTTGAATATCATGCTGAAGAGCTAAACATCTGGCAGGTCAAGGGAGCCCTCAAAGATTTAAAGCAGTAAAATGAGTCTTCTAAAAACAGTCATGGAGAGGGTTATTGTAGCACTTGGGACTAGACCTTAGAGAGATATGAGAAATGACTTCATAATTAGGGGGTCCATGAATTTGGCTCCTTGAAGATCTGTAGAAGTATGAGAATAAATGCATAGTAAAGTTATCTGCATCATCTTCACCTCAGCCATCTGCATACAGTTCTGCTTTTTCTTCTTGTTCAGTAAGGTCTCTCACAGGGCAGGTCTCACCAAGAGTTTAGCCACAAGCCTCAGGCCTATAAAAATAAAAAAGCAGATTTGGGATCTGCTTTCACTCAAATGACTGCTCTATGAAAGCAATTTCAAAAACAATACAAAGCTTTTTGGCAGCAACATGGCTCTGCTGTCCGATGATAACTGTCTGGATTCCTTGTTGTGGCTCTTAGTAGTCTGCCTGGCCTCTTTCCTTCACTGTCACCTCCCTCCTATAGCATTCCCAGGACAAGCTATAACCCTGTCGTCAAAGCTGATGTTGATTACACAGGATAGGGAAAGCCATGGTGTCCCTGGCCTTGCCCATTACTGTTTCCTGAGTTGTTTTTTTTTGCTTGTTTTTTTGTTTTTCAGAGACAGGGTCTCTGTCGCCCAGGCTGGAGTGCAGTGGCGTCATCATAGCTCACTGTAACGTCAAACTCCTGGGCTTAAGTGATCCTCCTGCCTAGGCCTCCCAAAGTGCTGAGATTACAGGCATAAGGCACCATACTCAGCCTTTCTTTAGTCTTTGGTCTCTGAATAGAAGATACCAAAGAAAAGAGAATTAAACCAACATATATTTCTTTATATACATGTAAACACATCGAAAATGGTCTAGAAGAATACTGGTTACACTGGCTATTTCTAAGTAGGGAAATGGAACTGAGGGGTGAGGAGGGAGGAGTAAAAAGGGGCACTGTTACTTATCTGTATTTTTTAATATCTTACATTGAAAATATATGCATGTATTGAGTCCTGACCTTAAGAAGCTTACAGACTAGTAGATACGGTGAAAATGAACACATATTTTTTTCTTAAACAAATAAAAAAACTATTTTTGAAGAGGTGTGTCAATATGTTGACAACAGTTAAAACTGAGGGGTGGGTATATGGGTTTTATTTCTATTTCCTCAGCTTTGTATATGTTTGAAACTCAAATATTTTTTACTATAAAAGCTATATATGCTCATTGTAAGAAATTCAAGTAAGGAAGTACATGATGTCCCCATTCACCCCAATCACTACAGTTTCATATTTAGTCTTCCACTTATCAGATAACCACATGTACACAAATATTTCTTTTAAAACAAAAATGAGATCATACCGCATGCTGCTGGTTTTATGATTGACTAAATTCCAATTTACAGATATACCATTATTAACTAATTTTTTAACTTATTTAAGATTCTTTACTATTGAAACAATACTGCAAATAATATCCTCATATAAATATGTTGTACAGTTCTGTGAATATTTCTAAAGGCTAGAGTCCTAGAAATGAAATGGCTAAGTCAGAGATAATAACACTTTAAATGTCTGATAAAAGAAGACTACAGATTTGTATTGCCATTAATAAGAAAATGCCCTATATTGTTTAAATATTAAAAGTGTTGTGAAAGGGATATATACTGTTGCTAAGGAACATAAAAGAGGTCTTGAGTATTATGATAGGGAGTCTGTTATGGACTGTATGCTTGTGTCCCCCCGAAATTCAAATGTTGAAACCCTAACCCCCAAAGGGATGGCATTCAAAGGTAGAATCTTTGCGAAGTCATTAGGTCATGAGGGTGCACCTCTCATGATGGTATTAGTGCCCTTATAAGAGACATGGAGCTTGCTTCCTCTTTCTGCCATGTGAGGACACAGCAAGACAGCCACCTGATCTGCCAGCACCTTTATCTTGCACTATCCAGCATCTAAAACTGTGAGAAATAAATTGCTGTTTAAGCACCATCTATGATAATTTGTTAACAACAGCCCAAACTAAGACACTATCCTTGACCCAGTAGCCAGTGGTTCTCATCTATAAAGCCCAACACCTTTGGGCTACTCTCTCTAATAAGCATTTACAACAATCCGTTTACCATCCTATGCAGACTTGATACAATTCTGTTGTGTCAGAGACTCAAATACCAGGAACTGGCTCTGCCATCAATGGGATGAATTTTCTGAAATGATAAGGAGAAATTCTGAATAAAACAAACCACTGTACAATTTCCCTCCATTTAGTTGCATGCCTACAGAACTGCAAAAAATACTTTGTGTTTATTATGTAAAAGGGAGTTAGGTTATAGGCTCAGCTAATTATAAACTGTTTTTGCATCTACCAAATATCTAGGACATTTGATAGTTGTGTAGGACTTGGGACAATTTGTTGTGCAAAACTATACCAGGCATTGCAAGAAGTTTTAGCATCCTTGGCCTCTAACTACCAAATAATTGATGTGCTTGCCAACCATTGTGACAATCAAAAACATTTTCACCTCTGTTGTGGGGTGGTGCCACTTCCACTGAGAGTAAGTAATAAGAAACCATCAGAGGCTGGGCGCCGTGGCTCATGCCTGTAATCCTAGCACTTTGGGAGGCCGAGGTGGGAGAATTGCTTGAGATCAGGAGTTCGAGATCAGCTTGAGCAAGAGCAAGACCCCATCTCTACAAATATAGAAAAATTAGCCAGGTATGGTGGCGTGCACCTATAGTTCCACCTACTCGGGAGGCTGAGGCAGGAGGATTGCCTTAAGCCCAGGAGTTGGAGGCTGCAGTCAACTGTGATGATGCCACTGTACTCTAGCCCTGGCAATAGAGTGAGACCCTGTCTCCAAAACAAAACAAAAAAAGGACTAATTTGACTAATTTCATACTTGGGTAGGGAAGGCACCATTGGAGAGTGGCACGGGGGATCTGGGAGAATGGTGACCCTACTGTACAGCAAGTGAGAAAGCAGAGTGGGCAGCAGAGTCCCACCAAGAGAAAATGGAGTAAAGGGATTGAGGATATAAGAAAGTCAGTTTGTTAATCATGGAAGAGGTTTATGAGCAGGGGACAAAGGTCAGACTAGTATACACATGACAGCATGGGAAAGGACAGGTGTGCAAAGGGGCTGATATTTTGGGCAAATCACTAAGAATGATGTGAACTAGCCGAGCTTCAAAGCTCAAAATGGAATAGTGGCAAGAATATCTCACTTCATAGGTTTTACCTTGAATGCACTGTGTTTTCTTTCAAATTCTCGTCACATCGGTGCAATAAGACTTATAGGTAGATTTCCTGTGCAGTAGCACAGGCAGAAATCTACCCTTATGCTAATATTACACCCATTGAGCTTAAGGAGGTGAACTGCTTTCCCACATGCTGCCCAAGATCCCTTTCTTTGGGGAATGATCCCTCCTCCACTTTGTGCAATTTGAACAGAGTTGTCAGCATGAGCCTCTGCTTGATGCAGAGATGTATGTGTGGCCATGTTGGCCAGAGTACCCCGTTGCCTACACAGAGTCATTGGTCCAGGAATGGTCACTGCCCAAAGAAAAGCTTCTTACAGTTTTTTCAGGGATTTATGTAAATTCTGGGATAGTCTTTTCTCTGAGATCATGAGGGCTGATAGTACTACTCCTAAAACTGTATATCCCCCACTTCATGGGTGATTAGAGCACAGGGTATGGTAATCCAGTCTATGACCAGAAAACTGGTAGTGAGGGGCCGGGCGCGGTGGCTCACACCTGTAATCCTAGCTCTCTGGGAGGCCGAGGCGGGCGGATTGTTTGAGCTCAGGAGTTCGAGACCAGCCTGAGCAAGAGCGAGACCCCGTCTCTACTAAAAATAGAAAGAAATTAATTGGACAACTAAAAATATATAGAAAAAATTAGCCGGGCATGGTGGTGCATGCCTGTAGTCCCAGCTACTCGGGAGGCTGAGGCAGGAGGATTGCTTGAGCCCAGGAGTTTGAGGTTGCTGTGAGCTAGGATGACGCCACGGCACTCTAGCCAGGGCAACACAGTGAGACTCTGTCTCAAAAAAAAAAAAAAAGAAAACTGGTAGTGAAGGCTCCCCTTCTGTGGTCCATACACTATTTGGGTAAACAGAAACACCAAGACACAGACATGGCAAAATATTTAATGTCTGTAGGTGTACCTCACTCTCACATTCCTATTACGATTCAACAGCCTCCACAAACTGTCAAACTGGCACAGACTGGCAGAACCAGAGAAACCATGGGCACTTTCTTCCAGCAGGGTTTGAAAATCATCAAGGCCCTAGTCCTCTAGACCTGGAAATGACAGCAGGTAAGGTCCTTCCACAGCAGGCCTCGGGCAAGAGAAAGCCCCCCAATTCTACAGGACTCCCGACGTCTTCTGTTCTTCTGCAGCCTGGCGCCGGGAGCGGCGCCGCTGGAGAAAGTGGTAGGCCCGGACACTGCAGAGGTAGCCCCCATACACAGTGAGGAGCATCATGGAGGTGGAGAAGGTCTTGTAGCCAATGTCAGCTAGCTGCTTGGCAGTTGGCATGTCGTCCCCTACAAAGACAGACTGAATTTAGACCCAAGGATAAGGCCTCATCTGCCTGGCCCATCTCGCTGGTTAAAGCCACTCCATAACTTCCGGATCCTGTTTAGTCCGTCTGCACTCTATACTGAATGGCTCCTACATGTAGGCAGTCTCATAAGGACACTGGAAGATATCGTTTGGGGATTCTACAACTGAAAAGGACAAATAAAGTTTGCAAACAAGATACAGAAACAAGGCTGGAACCAGGCACCTCTGAATGCCATCACAGCTACACTTTGCCCTCTGTGCCTATGGAGAGAAGTAACTGGCATGGACCACCAAGAACTGCTCTTAACTAGCACATTACATTGAATGAACAGACATCAGTTTTTCTGGCCAGTAAGGAACTAATGGAGGTAATCAGGGATTAAACATTTGCAGTGAATTATTCTCCCCAGGAGGACCAAATGGGAACCTTTCGGGCAATATCCAATTTGTTTTCCCATAAAAACAATCTTACAGTGGCTAGGTTCTCAAGTTAGCACTAAGGCGTGTGTAAGCCATAACATACCTGAAATAGTGCCAACAGTATTTTTATATTATTTCAATTTACTTAACTTTTTATAACATTAATTCTAAGTTCCAAACTCTAAGAACCTATCCCCACTGGCTAAAAAGAAACTTACTGGGTCTCCAGCAAATTGTTAACTCATATTTGCATGAGATAAATTACTTTTAATTTAATTGTTCCCTGGATATTCTGAGGTAGGAAACAAGAGAAAGTTTAGTAAGAAATCCTTTGGAACAAAATGTGCGTCAATCTGGGACTATGAATGGGTTCTTAGGCTCCTCTCTGTTGAGGGAATTGATATTAAAAGACTGACTGAAATGAGTGAGAATAGGTTTCTTAAAAGTCAAGAAGAAGAACTTGGAGGAAGACAAGCTCAGAATTAGCTGGTTTAGGGGATCAGAGATATGTAAGTGATTCTCAGAGTGAGCCCTAAGGGATGAACACTGCCTTTGAGGCAGGCCTTGAGGGTAGACTCCAAACTGAGCTGAGGCGCAGCTTCTCTGAATTATAATCCCACTATGGAAAGTGACATTAAAAAAGGTCAGAGGAAGAAAACCAAATGACACAGGTTCAAGATGAGAAGGGGCTGTGTTCAGGTTATCTAAGGTTTGAAATGACTCCAAGCTGTGCATGAGACAGTGAAGAAAACATACACACACAGAGCAGGCCACTAAGGTAGTAAACAAACACCTGGCAAAGAGTCCTCCAGCCCGCAACCTCCCCCTTGCTTATTCTTTCTCCTCCCATCCCGCACTACCCTGGCCAGATGCTAACCAATTACAGGACCACCTTTTCGAGGGGCTGGAGGAAAAGGGCTGGAAGCATCCACCAGCCAACAAAGAAACAGCTTGGCTAGAAGAATGATACAAGACCAACTAACACATAATCCTGGGGTCTAGAACCTTACTTCCTTCTCTTGTCTAATCCATGCTGAGGTTTCTCCTAATTTTGAATTAGCAAAAACTCCTCACAGACCCTGAGCTAAAGCAGGGGCAGTAGAAATGGAGAGAACAGGTGCAGAAGTTATTTTGGAAGTAGAACAACATTTATGAACTGAATGGATTAGGGCAAAGCTGAAAATACCTCCAGTTAAGGAATTTTTGCGGATTGGGACTTATGATAGACGTGAGAAGTGCAGCATATATACTAAAACTGGAAGGATACAGAGAAGATTAGCATGGCCCCTGCACACGGATGACATGTAAATTCGTGAAGTGTTCCATATTTTTTGAAGGACACCTGAATTACCCATGCTGTCTGGCGGATGTCAGAGAAACGCTCTAATGGGGGATAGCGGTTCCCAGAAGTGTTACATAATAAAACAGAAGTAGTTTATACAGGATTATACTACCCGGGGAGTGCAAGGAGTAGATACTCATGAGCAGGAAGCCTTTTTCCCCTAGGTCTGACTCTGGAACTGGATGTGAGGAGCTGCTGGATTCTACAGTGCCCTATAAACAGCTCTCAACTGACTGAGAAAGAGATTCTTGGTTTGTGGATGGCAGTTTCAAGGTACACTGGCAACATTCTATTTAGAAGGATGCCCCTCTGATCAAAGAAGGTAAAAATAAACCAGCTTGGTGGGCTAAATTACATACTGCTTTCCTGGCAGTGATGGAAGAATTGAACAGTGGTAAAAGCCCCTATGTTTGGGTTTTTACTGACTTGTATGCAGTGTCCAACAGCCTGGCCACATGGTCAGACAGAGTGCATTGGAAACCTGGTGTTTTAAAGGGATGCTCATATGGGGCATGGTCCTATGGAAATATGTGGGCTTCATTAAAGTAGGACATGTGATGACCATCAGAAGAGCCCCCTTCTAGCTTCGGAAGGTGACTGGAATCAGCAAGCAGATATCCCTGTATGCTCCCTTGAGGTGGCCACCTGGGTCCATGAAATGAGTGGATATGGGGGTACTGCAGTAGTGCAGAGATTGGGCTGAATCTAGACATGATCCTCTTGCACCCTCTCAGGCACAAAACGCCAAGGAGAACTGCTGTGTCTGCCAGCATGAGACAGAGACTGACTGCAGAAAGACCAGGACAGGATTAGAGCAGAGGTAAAAAAAAAAAAAAAAAAAAAAAAACACTTGGCATTTTTTCCCCTCAAGTGAGGTGCAGGCATTTGAGACACTCCAAAACCAAAAAAGTTTACTTATTTTAAAACAGACTTAATATGTATGTTTTCAAAAAACCAATCTCTCATCCCATGCCTTTTTTAGTGTGGAGAGTGTCTATATCATCTTTCGTTCTTTTATCTTGTGTCCACATAAACCAAACATTTCCAAACAGAACTGTATTTGTGACTTAAAAAAAAAAGCAAGAGAAGAAAGAGGTGTCACTGTATATACAGGGTGGTGGCAGTGTCAATCAACAAGATCAGGACTTGGGTTTGGACGTGTTAAAATTAAGATGCTTAATGTAACATTCATGTGATGTCTATCAGGCAGATGGAAATGCAAATCTATACAGATCTTGGGAGAGAAGCTTTCAGAAACAGATGGATACAGCAAGCGACACCGAAGCAGAGGATAAGACCAGAAAGAGAGGCCAAGGGAGCAATAGTTTGAAGAAGGGAACAATGAAGGAAAGAACACAAGAAATTCCAGAAACTTGTGGGGGAATTTTTATTTTAACTACATCTCCCTTGCTGGTTGAAAATCACTGCTGTATCAAATCACTGCCACTGGTGGAGGTGTGCTGGATCTTTCCAGTGCGTTAAGCTAGAACAAAAATTGGGTACCACTACTGCAAAGTTAACTGCCACGACAACTGGTCAGATGGGACCATTGGGTGGGAATGGGCCACTAGGTCACTGGTAAGCCTAGGGTGTCTAGCATTTTTCCAGCACAGAAAGAAAGAGATCATTAGAAGGATCATAACCTCCTCACCCAAAGACAAGAACTGATGACAGTGATAGGGCAGTAACTTGAGAAGGTAACACAATCAAGAAAATTCTAGTTTTGTTTTGCTTATTAATAAGGAAGATGTGAATATGTTTTAAAGGGGAGGAAGCTGGTGGCTAAACTGCGGCTAAAAGAGAGGTGGGCAGGATGGAACCATATAGAGGATGGCCCAGGAAAAGATGAAATCTCATGGAGTGATGGGGTTGGGCTGCAGGTTTCAGAAAACAGAAAAAGACATAGAAAAAGTCATTCTGAAAAATGTCATAGGAGTGCAATTTCCAAGGGCTTTGTGGCTTTTCTGTTTTTTTCTGCCCTGAACATGGGAGGACTTCAAGGTTCAGGTTACTCCCCTAGTAAAACTTATTCCCTCAAATGGGTCTATCATCTCAGCTTAGATTCACTCATTCATTTATCGTCTTCACGGCACTTAGGGCACATCATGCTATGAAGGACGTGGAAAAGAACATGGCTTCCGTTTCAAAGGAGCTTACAGTGTGATGGGGATAAGCTACGTAGCCTACCTGTATCGTTAGACAAAGTAGAAAGTGCGTGAGAAGAGACACTGTGAGAGTTCAGCGACAGGGTGGAGGCTCGAGAAAAGTTAGCAGAAAGGTGTAGGAGTGGGATGGGGTGGAGGTGTATTTTTTGAAGGGTAGGCAGGATTTACACCATTTAAAGCCCAGAAGAGAGAAGGGGAGAGCATTCCGGAGTGCAAAGCAGCAAAGAGATGGAGCTGGATAACCAATATGCACGAAGGGTGACTGGGAAAGCCACGTATCAGGGCTCAGGGGAAGCAAGGAAGGGGCATTTGGAGTGGGAGCGTTGAGGGCCAAGACGCCAAGCAAGACTCGAGGTTTAACAGGATCAGCGATGTGCTCTAGCAAGGCTGACCTACTGCCGCAAGGGGGTTGGGCAGTACGGACCGCAACTCGCAGTCTGCTGCGCAGCATACGCCCGTGACCTCAAGGGCATCGAAGCCTGAAGACTAGGGGATGAGAGGATGCGGTAAGCAGAGCCTGGCCCAGATGGGCGTGCACGCAGCGGGATCGGCGATCCCTGCTCTGCCCAGCCGACAGCGTACCTGGATGCTGCAGCTCCTTCGCGTCCAACCGAGGCCTTCGCAGGAAGCGTCTTACTGCCACGGTCTGCGCAACTTCCTACTGCGACCGAACGCATCAGCCCTCGAAACCAGACACGTGAGGGTACCGGCCCAGGAACAACCCTAAACGCCTCAGCTATTGGTGCGCAAAGCGACCTTCCTCCCACTTGCCGGTTTCAGCCTCTAGGACTCGGCTCCCGACGGGCCAGGCCCAGCATAACACCACCCACTAAGGCGGGAGCCCGCGCCTGCAGCCACTCCAGATAGTGGCCGGCTTTGGACTTCCGGCTTCCGGGCCAATTATCCTTAACTGCGCATCCTCAGACGAACCTTCTTCTCGGAGAAGCCCGTTGAATTCTGGGGGTTGTGGTTTTTATGCTCCGTTGAGAAAGGATGTTTGGTAACCCACGCTCTGGAACCGGAAGTTTTAGGACGCTGTCAGAGTCAGCCAATCCCCAGCGTAAGGCATGGTGACGTCTCCAGTAGCTAGGTAGATTCTCTCGGGGCCAGCCTTGTGGCGGTGGAGCGCGCGCCCCCTAGAGCCGGCAGCTGCCCTCTCCCAGGTGGCTGGGCTGTGGGCGGAGCTCAGGTAGGAACCCGGGTGGGAAGGGTGGGAAGCGCGAGGCCTGGACGGCCAAGGATGTGGCGGGTTGAGCCATGACCATGGAGTGGGCACGGGGGGTGAGTTTCTAATGTCTCTGTCCCGTGTGTGACCTCCCCGCCTAGCAGCCGGTGTGATAAAGCCCCTCAGAAGCGCCGGGAAGGCGGGGTGCCAGCTTGAGGGGAGGAGCGTGGGGGGTGCTGGCGGGAGACAGGACGGAGGGGACTGAGTGGGCACCTCTGCTGAGGGCCGGGAGTGGCTGGGATTATCAAGGAGGGACCTTTTTTCATTTTTTCCTACGGTCAGAGTGAAAACATACATGCAGTGATACACAACAGCACACGCACCGCCATACTCACTAAAGCTCCCTTCCCCAACTCTTTCTGTTTCTGGAAAAACCATGCTTTATTGGGTAGATAAGTAGGCCTGACAGGAAGGCCTCAGATTCACAGTTAACTGTGGAGTGAACAAAAGTAGGCAAAAATGTTTGAAGCTGCCTCTGTGCCCCCACCTTAACCTCCTGGGGAGGCAGCTCTGGATTCACTTAGTGCCTCCACCTGGACCTTTCGCTTTTGTTGCCCGATCTGGGCAGCTCTGCCCTTCGCTTGTAAGACAGTGAATTCTCAAGGGCTAGGAGCAGAGAGGAGCCTGCCTCCCTGGCTTGTCGGGAGTAAGGGAGGGTTAACATAATGCTGGCCAGAGCCACAGTATGCCAGGTGCTGCCACACAGGAAGCTGAGACCCCTGCTGGACCTGGACACAGGAGCCTCTCAGGCCCTCGGGGACTATTTATAGCTGAGGGCTTAGGCTGCTGACCCATGACATTCCCCTGCTGCCACCCCATCCTGGAGCAAGGCCAGTGCAAAGCACACTCCTCACCCTCCCCCTTGCTGTTCTTCCCTCACCCCAGAGAGTAGGCTGGTTTTTATTTTCTTCCTCCTCCTTGAGTTTCTCCACTTCTGAGGTGCTGATGTGGTCAGTACCTTGTGAGAAGGCCCTCATTGAACAAAGAAGAGCTGGCTTTGGAATATCAGGACCCACCAACATGGGAACCTGCTCACCCTTCCCCACCTCTGCTCAGCTTTTGGACCACTCCGGCCCCCTGGCCTCCAGACGCCAGGTGCTGATTAGCTTCGCTGGCTGGTCTGGGGCAGCTGAGAAAAAGGTACAGGATTTGGGAGGAGGAAAGGGGTAAGAGTCAGGGATGTCCTCTGGGGAGACAGCAGCAGGAGGGGCCCAGCTGAGCTACTGAGAAGAGAGGCAGGGCAAATGCAAAGGTCACAGGGAGCCCAGTGATCTGAGCCTACTGTGAAAAGGAATAGCTCTGTCAGCAGATTAAGTTCCTGCTCCCCAAAGAGGGTGCTGGCGGGGAGGGTGAGGGAAGGCTAGGAAAGGTCACACGGGGTGGGAGGAGCTGGCAAAGAACTAGGAACCAGGAAGTCCCTGGGGAGAATGGTAAGCCACAGGGCCAGAGATGCCAGCATGGCAGCCACTCTGGTGCCAGGGCAGCCTGGGGGAGGGGCAAAGGGGATGACCAGAGGTTTCTGAGGACGCAGATGTTGCTAGGAGAAGCTAGAAGGGGGTTGTTTGAGATCTTTGTATTTTGTTAACAAACACTGAGATCCATTTAAGCTGTGTGGGGCTTGGCAGAGGTCAGTCAAGGGGTCCCTGGGTCCTATGTCAGCTCAAAAGCCCAGAACCCTCCCTGGCAGCCCTTGCCTCATCCCTCCTTTGGCTAAGGTACCTCATTTAACAGGACTCCTGGTCTGTGTGAGGGAGCAATTGGCAGCCCCTGCCCTGATGCCCTCTTTCCCCACCCTGCCCCATACACACACAACTGAAGCAGGCAGCACAGAGGCTTGCTTCTACCCCTCCCAGAGGACAGGGAGAAAGCCCCACATCTGGAGAGGGACATGGCAACTCCATTTCTGGCAAGATGTGGTGGCAGGAGACTGCAGGCTGCTTGGCAGTTCAGGATCTCCAGGTGCGTAGCTGGGCCCACCGCCTCCTGTCCTCCAGTGAGAAGCTGAGAAGATTCTGCTCCATGGAGAGTCCCAGAGATCCTGGTGACTCGATGCCCCAAGCTTCTGCCGGTCTCCATTGGGGTAAAGAAGCTGCCTGGCCTGGGCCCTGGCCCCGGCCCCACTCACAAATGTTCTGGATGATTCTGCAGGCAGCGGATGAATTCACCCACTGGCTGGCCCTCATAGCACACCCTGTACACAGCCATGAACAAAGGGAACCTAGAGTGGAGAGAGAGAGGCTCAGCTTAGGCTTCCATTCCTGGTCCACCCTCTACCCCCGCCCCCAACTCCCCATTCACCATCTAACCCTCCACTCCCCTACTCTCCCACCCTGGAGCTCAGGCAGACTCTGGCTCTCGGTTTCCACCTGCTGAGAATCTAAACTCCCTAGCCTTGGGTTTTGGAGTCGGGTTGCTAATTACCCTGCTCCTTAACATGTTGAACTTGCCTGCATGTTTCCCTGGCTTGAATTTTTGTTCCAGTTGACTTAACCTCTCTGAGCTTCAGTATCATCAATCATAAAATGGGGCCAATATAACAAAGTTGTGAAGATATGATTGTGTATGTGAAGACATGATTATGTATTATGTGAAAGTGCTCAATAAACAACAGTGTCCTTCTTCCTATCCTTTTGCCCACTGCCCCCTTTACCAGGAGGCTTTACCCTGACCAGCCATGAGCTGATCTTCTGAACCTGTTTCATATGCTCTTCTTGGATTCTTTCCCAGACCAACAGAGCTCTACTCTGATCAGCCCTGTCACCCCTGCTGTCTTAGTGCTCCCTGAAAAGGAGCACCTTGAAGCAGAGCCCATCCTTCTCCTCACACCTCAGCTCCCAGGGCAGGATTCAGAGGACAGAAAGGTTGGCCTTGGGGAAGAGACTCAGACTAGGGGTGATAGAGAGGGGGGCAGTCAGATGAGCTGCCTCAGAGCTCCAACTCCCAGAGCAGAGGACAAGGAGGAAAGGATGCAGAGGGGTGCAAGTAATGTAGTATAAAGAGCACTAGACTGGAAGGAGCTCAAAGACCATGAACTAGCCAGGGGACAATGGGCATACCAGACTCTCTCCAAGCTCTAGTCTCTTTGTCTGAAACATAAGGTCACACTCCCCTCTCTGTCCACTTCACAGATTGTGGAGGGTTCAGGAAGATGATGAACAGGGAGAGCACTTTTGGCTGTGGCCGACACTTACTTGTCCACCAGGCCCTTGTGCTGGAGGATGCTGTGTAGCTCCCGGGCTGTCTGGGGCCCCTGCAGCTTCTGCCCATTCAGCATCTCTTTCTCCAGCTGCTCAATGGACTGTGCAGAAAACAGGGCACGTGGAGGGAAGTGGGAGAGGAGGGTTGTCAGTATGTCTGGGGCTCAGATGGGAGGTGGGGTCTTGGGAGGAAAGAAGGGTGTAAATGTTCACAATAGTCTTAATGTTTGTATTCAAGAGATGCCTCCTCTTGAGTGCCTCTATCTTGACACCCACCCCCTGTTCTCCCTTCTCCCTTTTTCCAGGGCCCACCTTTCCTGTACGGGCAAAGGCCTCGGCCACCTTGCGGTTCCGCCCTCCATAACAGGTAGTGATGAGGTCAGCAACACCGCAGCTCTCCAAGAATGTGGCAGAGGACACGGGGCCACTGCAGAAGAGCTTGGCAAAGGCGATCATCTCCATGAGTCCCAGCCGGATCACTGCTGCCTTGGTGTTGTCGCCAAAGCCCAGCCCATCGCAGAAGCCAGCTCCTACAGCCACTACATTCTTGGGGAAGTGGAGGTCATAGGTGAGAAAGGACCCTCCTCCTGCAGGCCCCACGTGGAGCCCTCAGCACCTACCTCATGCTCCTTACATCAGCCATGACACACCCACTGTATATGTGAAGTCTAATGTATGTGCTCCTAAAGTATTTCCACCTCTGGGTTTTCCCACTTGATGTACCCACTTTCTTAAACCCTGCCCCATACTCCCTCCTTGAGGACATTTTCTGAAAGCACTCTTCTCTCTAGCTGGCCCTTCCATCCATGACCATTCTATAGTCCTCATGTCTATAGCTATTCAGGATCCATAGTTCTATCAGTCTGTCTGAATGTCCTGGCTGTCTTGCCTCTCCTATCAGCCTGGGCATCTCCCCTTCCCCCAGGACCACCTCCTGGAGACAGGGAAAGGGGCAAAGGAAGAAGGAGGTTCAGGGTCTGATGATGAATAATCAGCAGGCCTGAACTGACCCTAGCTTTGCTTCTGCAGTTCTTCCTGTGTGTATGGGACTTGGTGGGGAAAGGAAGCAACTGCTCAAGAGTGAGAGCCTGGAGTACCAACAGCCCTGTAGAACTAAGCTGGCTCTCCTTTAGGACCTTCTCCCCACTCCATAGCTGCCTCTGTGCCCCTCTCACCTTTAAGGCCCCACAGATCTCGACTGTGTCCACCTCTTTCACCACTGTGATACGGAAATTGGGTGTCTGCATCAGCTCTTTCAGAAGTTGTCCCTGGGCTGGGTCCTTGCAGCCTAAAGTGGGGAAGGGGCAAGGCTTTGAGGGGGGACTCTTGAACTGTTCTTCTCACATCTTCCCTAAGCAGGACCTGCAGCCCCTTCCGTGGGGTGTCCCAACCTCCCTCACCTCTGATGCTTGGGTCTTCTTCCTTTCCCTGCCTTATAGGAAGGAGACAGCTAAGTGGGGTTGGAGGAGAGTATGGGGAAGGGATGCAACTAGAGCTGCCTGTGTATGTGGGTGGCGGGGGGCTCTCACCAATGGTTGTTTCACAGAACTTCTCATCAGCCACCTCGCTGGCAATGTTGGCCCCCATCAGCACGCTCATGGGGATGCCAAGGCGTTCCCCAATCACTTCGGAGATGAGCTTCAGCCCATTGGGGCCCTCGTCTACCCCCTGGGCACAGGATGGAGCTCAGGCCAGGTGCCCTTATGGCCAACTGAGGGCTTCCCACCCAGAAATCCTGCCCCTTCCAAATCCATTGTTCATCATTACCCCTCCCAGAGGTCCTGCCCATCCAACCCAGCTAAAGTTTGCTCTGAGGAGGGTGCACAACATGTGAAAAGTTCTCCTGCCACATACCTTTGACCTACCTCTCCAAGGCGATGTATCCCCTCCATATCTCTAGACAACTCTGTCCTGACTACCTCAAACAGGAGGTAGTCCATGAAGTGAGTCACTGCTCCAAACCAGCTCTCCTTTCACACTCCTCAAACCAGCCCACTTCTCACATCCCCCAGGCATCCCTTTACACCTCCCAAACTCCCTGAAGACCCTGGCCTTCAGACCAATCTCTCATCTACTTCCCAGCCAGCCTCCCTTCCAGCAGCCCCAGCCTCTGTCTGCTTTCTTTAGCCTCTCCAAAGCCAATTCCTCTCTTCTCTCTGGGCAACTCTTGGCCTACATCTGCCATTTTATGTTCTCCTTGCTTCACCCTCCCCGGGCCCCATAACAGCTGCTCTGTCCCCCACCCACATCAACGTGTCCCTGGCACCTTAATAAGAGATATGCCAATGGCGTTTTTCTTCAGGTGGCCCTTGAGCTGGTCACAGATCTTGCCAATGAACTGATGGGGCACCACAAAAATCAGGATGTCAGCATCCATTGCAGCCTGGACCACATCTGGGACAGCCACCTGTGGGGGTGATCAGGTGCTCATGGGCCTGGTAGATCTAGCCCCTGTGGAACCCCATTCAGGATATCTGGGAGCCAAAGAGTGAAGCTGGTGGGGGAGAAGGAAGGGTGGTTTGGGACAGAATCTAGAAGGACTAAACTTGGAGGAACAAGACACTCTATTCCCTCCCCCAGCCATCACTCGCCCTCGTTCCAGCTGTCCTGGGCTCTTCAGGACTAGAAACCTCCTCCCAGCATTTCTATCCCTTGGCTGTGGGACAGTGAGGGAAGTCAAAAGTAGCCTGGGCTTGGCAGGAGGAAGAGGCCAAATAAGATTTCATCACCCTGCTCCCTAGGGGCCCCAACTGGGAAGGGAGAGTCCCAGTCTTTCTGCTTTCCCCCGCTCCCCCTTTCCAGGTAGGGAGAGAGCCACATGGATGTGACCAAAGACCGTAAGTCCAAGGAGCAGCCTCCAAGTTTGTTAATAACCCAGTGAATAAGTAACAGGATTAGCGCCTGTGGCAGGCACTACCTGGACCCCAAGTCTGGGAGCCTAGCCTTTGGCTGCCAAGGAGACAGGCCTCCTTTCCAGTCCCTTCCCCACCCACCTGCCTGGGAGCCTGTAAGGGGGGAGGTATGTTCCAATTCTCCTCAGTCCTAGAAAGTGCCCACAGCAGCCCTCCTGAGATGCTTCCCAAGTCCAGCTTCCGCCTGAAGCTGCCCCCTCTCGGCAGGAGACCCTCTTGAGTAAGACCACACTCCTGGCTCTCCCTCTTTCTACTTCCCTCTCTCCTTTCCTTTCAAGGTATTGGGGCTCACCACATTTGCGGGCAGTTTGTGCCCTGGCAGGTATTTGACATTCTCATGCTGCGTGTTGATGATCTCTGTCAGCTTTCTGCCTCCGACATCTTCCTCAAACACCCACATGGTCACCCGTGGGTCAAAGCTTGCCAGCTGGGCTGTATTGCCACCCACAATCTTGGCGATGGCAGAGCCCCTGGTGGGAGGGGGAGCACACGAAAGTGGAGGAGTGAGGGAGGGAACAGTGGCAGGGGTTGGGGCAGTGCCCCATCTCAGGATCTTACAGCAGCCCACCAGATTATTTACTCCCACTGTCCGTGCCACCCCCACTCCCATGACAAGTGTGTCCCCAATGACCAGGCAGTAGAAAGGAGACTCAGTCCACCTCACGCTTTGCCACTAGAGAAGGGGGCCAGCCTTCTGATCTCCCCACCCCAAACCCAAACAGCTTTTCAAACAGAGCATGCCCTGGAGACTCCCTTCCTAAGGCGAACAGGTGCGGCTGCCAAGGCAGGCAGGGCCAGGAGCGGTCTGGGCACCACCTGTCCTGTGCCTGCAGGCACAGATGATAGCAGCAGGGGCCAAATGGGAACCTGAGGGCATTTCCCACCCACTCTCTGCCTTCTGCCCACCAGGCCTCCCACCCTAGCCCTTCTGTACTTACGGGGACCCACGCTGCCCCCACATCCCTTAATAGAGCCGCTTACCAGTTGCCAGAGCCTACAATGCAGACTTTCTTGCCAGCCATGGTTCTGCTTCTCTGCCCAAGCAGGCTCACCGCCACACTCCCCAGCTCTTCTGCCGGTGGGAGCATTTAACTCTGCCACACGTGGGTGCAGCCAAGCCCCGCCCTCCAGGGGTGGGTGGAGGCTGGCGCCCAGGGATATAAGAGAGTCTGGCAGGGCCAGGGAAAGGGGAGAAAAGGGTAGAGACCAGGCTCGGCTTCTCCTGGGTTTGCCAGCTGACAGTGCTGGCAAGCTTCTTCCATTGGCCCCAGCCCAGTTCCCCAACCCCCTCCTAGCCATGGTCTCCTTTTGAGGTCTGCCAAGAAATAGCCCATATAAGGAGCAAGTGACTGTTCCCCCTCACTCCCTTCTGTCCCCCAGCACTGAAATAAATTGCATTTAGCCTTTGCAACTAGGGGAATGCTTTTTCAGAGGTGGGAATTCTCCGCCCTTCCTTCCCTGGCCACATACCCTTGCAGGCCCCCAAATACTGTCTAGTTTTGTCCTTTAGCAAGCCCACACTAGCTCCACTGTAGGGCTGGGGGTGGGGGATGTGGGCCCACGTTTAAAGATAAGACCACATAAGAGGTAAGGGCCTGCTCTGGGGACAACCCAGCCCAAGGATAAGACCACAGGAGACTCAAGAAACAAGGTCATCTTGGTCACCCACAGTGGTCATCTCAGGGACTCACCGTTGGGCCTCTCCAGAGACAATCCCCACCAGAAAGTCATCTAGGGAAAGTGGGAAAGGTCAAAGTTAGGGGACTCAGGATTGTGGCCCACAGTTCTCCTTTTGTAGACTCTGGACTAAAGAAGACAGGAGAAAATAGGAGACAGGGCAAAGCGTACACTATCCTTGAGAGGCTTTGAGCTTCCTTCAGTTCCTCCTCTCATGGGTTTCCAAGCTACCGCACGAGGAGCTTCCTCAAGTTAATGGCTAGTTTGCAGAGGCCAGAGAGGGGGAAGTAGGACCTGGGGCAGCTGTGTCCTCTGGCGCTTTGTGGTCTCAGATACCTTACCGGGGAGTACTGTGGTGTGTGATTCTGGGGGGAGGGGGAGAATGGAAGGAACACATTCGGCACTTCAGGGCTCTGTTGCCCACAGCCATCTGTTTGACTAAGAGAGGGAGCTCTGGTTTCCAGGCTGATCTGGAGAGTGAAGCAAGAGACTTCTAACCTTGTGCACCTTGGCCTAGAGGGCAGATACCACTGTATGCTCATGTGCTGACCTCCTGTCTTGGCAGCCTATTAATAAGTGGGTGTCACCATCCCCTTGGCCTGCTACTGGCCCACAACTGGTAATAAGCACTGGGCTACAGGGGAGTCTGTATGCAATCAATGGGTAAGGGTAAGTGGACAGGAGGTCAAGACTTGAGGTCAAGTCTGACCACTTACCACTTATTCCAGCAGAAATGGTTTTCCAAGTTTCAGGGACTGCCCAGGAAAAGCCCACCATATTCTCCTTCAATGGCCAGGGAGTTCCCATAAGGGAAACATACATGAATTCAGTAGTTGGCTGTTCTCCTTAGAACAAAGTTATACCTAACACATAGACAGCCTCACACAGACCGCTCCTTTATTGCGCTGGCACTGACAAAGGCACCAGTGCCAGGCTGCCAGCTGGGAGCACTGATTATGGGTGGTGAAGAGAAAGGATGCTTCTGTCCCTGGCACAAATTATAAGAACCCCAAAGAATGGATGTTTATGCATAAAATAACCCCCTTGTTTTTGCCTAAATGCTTCCCTCTCTCATTTTGCCCCTATAATCATTTTAGGTAGCGTGTAGACAAAGAATTTGCTCATTTATAGGGATAAAGAGGGTGCAGAGATTCAGAATTGGCTCATCGTAGGAAGTTATCTGTGTCACTACAGCTCTTTTCCCAAGAGCAAACCGTAGATTATTTGCTTGAAATTAATAATGGTTCATCAGCCATTCATTACACATGTAATTAGCCTGGGCAAAAACAGATGCCATTTCCATGTCCTTGATATCAATTTTCTCCACTCCAAGTCATCACCCCAACACATTCTTCTCTCTGCTTTCCCCTCTCAAGTCTGATAAAACCTCCAAGTTCCAGACTGGGAACAGTGGTTGTATTTTTGGTGGGTTTGATTGCATATACCAAACAGGCAATACTAGAGTGTCCCCATCCGTGGAGGCAAAGGATCGTTTTTAAACTACAACTTTGGAATGTGGTTGCACTCATCTTATATTCTAAACCCCCTTCTTGGATAATGGCACAAAGGAGAAAAGTAATGAGGCACCAGGTGGGAAGCAGACAGAACTGCAGCAGAATGTCATGCATTTGCTAATAGGAGTAATCACTCCTGAGCAAAGTCTTCCAAACTCTGCCAACGAGGGGCTGGTTGTCTATAGTATGGTAACATAGCGCTCCCAGGCCGGTCTTAAGAACCTGAACTCTTACTCAGAGTCACAAAAGTGGAACCTCAAAGAGTGGCAGACACAAAAATGTCTTTAGTCATCAGGCCCTGGCTGCTATCTAGACAGAAGCCCTGGGAGAGAAGTGAAAGTCCTTGTTACATGTAATGGATCATAGGCACCCAAGGACAGGTCACTCCAGCCAGCCAGTTCCCTGGGGAAGCTCAGAAGGAGAAGACAGTGCCACTAACCTGTTAGTACCTACTTAATAAGGGAACTGGGGGCAGGACTCTAAGATCCAATGAAGCCCAATAATCCCAGCCAGCACCTGGCCTCCTTGGACCACTGAGGCTGAGAGAGCAACCCCTGAGGTAAGATCCTGAGGTCCACAAAGGTAGAAATCTTGTTTTCTACTGTCCCCAGCGCCTAGCACTACAACTGGCATGTAGCAGGTGCTCAATAAGTATTTGTCAAATAAAATGAACAAACACTACAAGCATGACTAAACGTATTGAAACAGGAAGAGCTCAGGGAAGTGTGCTCTTCCACAGGAGGTAGGGGGACCCATCCTTCAGAAGATTCTTTTATTAAAACTGGGTGACATTGATAGGGGACAGTACAAAAAAAATTTTGGCCCATGAAAAAAACATAATAATTCAGTTAATAAAAACAGTTATCTTCAACAGGGACACTGTAGGAGTGCTGAGCTTCCTTCTCATGGTTCCAGCCAGGAGCCGGGCCAGTGCTCAGCTGCCCCAGGTTGTCCAGTGTCACTGTGGGGAGAACCTCTCAAGGGAGGGATAATGGCAGGAAAGGGAGGATGGGGAGGTAATTCTGCTGTCCCCAGTGCAGAACAGGCAGGTTAGATAAGGGGCTGGGGGGATGTGCTCGCAGGAGCCTGAGGAGGGGGTGGGGAAGCAGGGGCTTTGTCAGTTCTGTGGGTCTAGACCCCATGCGGAACGGAATTCCCCCTCTGTGCCCAGCTGTCTCCCACCCTGCTGTGTAGAGTCTGCGAGCCTGGGATATGCTAACTCGGGGGTGATACGACCTGGAAGAAGAATCTGAGGCTCTCCTGGAAAGATGCAAAATCATCTCAGTTCCAAGGGGCCAAGATCACAAGGTCCTGCTGCTACCTGAGGGGTCTGAAGCTTTGAGGGCAGGGGCTGGGGAGTCACAATCCTGTGAGGCAGGGAGAGGGAAGAGTCACAAACCCAACTCAGCACTATTCTCCAGCCCTAGGTGCTTTCACTCCTCAGTGCCCTAGAAGTCACCAGTGGTGTCAACTGGGCAGGCAAGGGACAGGAAGACAGGGAGGGCCCAGGGCTTTTACCCGTTTGATTTTAGGCCTGTTTCTCCATTAAGGGATGGGGTAGGGGGGCAGGGTGGAGTGAATGAGTCACACCTCCAAGCAACAGCAGGAAGGAACAGCCTCTGCTGGCAATGACAGTACCCCAGATTAGCTCCCTGGGGCCCTGAAAGGGAAAGGCAACACTCCCCCACCCAAATGCCCTGGGTTAGGGTAGACATGAGGGAATCCTAAAAGGGCAGCTACAGGAGTATGCTTGGGGGGAGCAACAGTTAAAGAACAAACTCCAATACTGATGTGGACCCCTTACTAAGGAGATAGCAGGCCAATCCAGAGGGCTGGGGACTGACCTGGGGCTCAGTGGAGCCCAAAAGCCAGGGTTCCTTTAGTGCTAGAGGGCAACAAGTGAAGGGAGAGTTTGCTCCAAACCTGTGGAGGGAAGGAAGGAAATTGGATTCTGTTATCAGGAGAGCCAAGATCAACTAGCTTATAGAGTGCCCCCAGGCCTGAGTCTTGGAGAAGGGGCTAAAGCTCCCAACTCCTCGGTCTCTGAAGGGCAGGATCAGTGTAGCTGGTCCCCTTGAAGACCACCTGGCCTTAGGCTCAATTCATTCCGAGCACTGATTACCACTACAGGTTCTCTCTCTAACACTATCTAGAGGTCTAAGGGTAGAGGCACGTGGGAACTCTGTGGGGCAAAGGGAAGCTGGGGGTGGGAAGGGATGGGGTGAGAGAAGAGGGTAATAGCTGTCTTGTGAGACAGAAATGTGAGACCCTCTTCATTCTGGTTTTGTCCTTGAACCAACAGCATCCCCTGGAATGCCCCAAGCGAGACCAAGGCAGGTGCTATGAGGCAGGCAGCACAGGGCCCAAATAAAGAATCGGTGCAGCCAAATCAGGGCTGAGGGAGAGGCCCTATGTATTTCGGATTCCCAGGGCTTGCTCTAATTCTTGTCGTCTCTGCTGCACCTAGGGAAAAAATAGTGGAGGGAGTGCAAGATGAGACCAACCAGAAGTTGTTATCTAACGCCCTCCATCCCCGCCAAGGGCGCAGGCCCCTTGCCTTTTCCTGTGCGCCCCAGGTACCTACCTTGGAGTAGAAGTATCGGCACACGGCCTCCTGAGCCCAAGGCTGGAAGTAGAACTCAGCTCGGCGCTCTTCCTCCGGGTTACCCACCACGTCGGTCATTGTCTGAGGAAAATGTGGGTGGGGGGAGGAGGAGGAAAACGGAGAATAGACTTGTTTCCTTCCTTCACACCTGTTATTGGCTGAATTGTATCCTCCCCCAAAATGTGGAAATCCTAACCCCCCATGTGAATGTGATCTTACTTGGAAATAGGGTCTCTGCAGATGATCAAGTTGAGATTAGGGTAGGCCCTAATCCAATATGATTGATATGCTTATAAAAAGGGGAAATTTGGACAGACAGACACATATAGAAGGAAGACAATGTGAAGACAAACAGAGAATGCCACCTACAAGCCAAGGAACGCCTGAGGCTACCAGAAGCTAGGAGAGCC